AACCAAGGCCTTGAGTTCAATCCACAGTACCAAAAAACAAAACAAAACAAAAAACCGAAAAGTCACCACTCTAGAATAAGCATATTACAAATACCAGTTTTCCAAATTAGAAAAATTAAATGTACATATATTGATCCTCTAATGAACACTTAGTACCTGGAAATCCAGGATTTCTTTTTTTTTTTTTTGGTACTGGGAATTAAACTTAGCACCTTGCGCTTGCCAGGCAGGAACTTACGCCACTGAGCTATATCCCTAGCCCTGATAATCCAAATAAGCCACAACAATATACAATATGTACACATGGTGCTACCTTTCCACTGAAGTTGGATGTTGTTTTCATATAGTCTTCTGCCTTCTGCATACAAACAAGCACTTTTTCAATATCTAATAGGAGAATAAAAAGAAAAAAAGGAGTTCCAATCAAGTGTCAATTAACCAGGCCAGGAACAGGAGTGCATGCCTATAATTCCACCACTTGGGAGGCTGAGGCAGAAGGGTCACTGTGAGTTCGAGGCCAGCCTGGGCTACAAAGTGAGATCAAACCCAGCCCAGACTGCACAGCGAAACTGTCTCAAAAAGACAAAAGAAAAGTGGCAATTAATCATTCTTACACAACCAGGTAGAAAAACAGAAAAGTATGAAACAATATAAAGTACTCAAGAAAAATACACCCTTTCATGCTTCTAAATGGTTTGCATAACGGCCAGCCTATTACTGAATCATCCATCCATTCATAACAGCCACTTTATTGGTAAATTCTCTAATATATTTGGGCCTACTTATAGATTCTTAATTCTATTTTTTCTCTAAGAAGTTACCAGGGTTGATTTTTGTGATACTGGGGATTGAACCTGGGGCTTCACACAACATAGGAAGTGTTCTACCGCTAAGCTACATCATTGGCCCTCTTCATTATTGCGATTTTAATTATTCTGAAGTATTGGGGATCAAACCCACAACATCATGAAATTCTACCTCAATCATACAACCCCATCACAGAACTACAGAAATTCTAATGCACGAACAACACTGTTTCTAGTAGCACTCCGTCTTAAGTCTGAAGGGTAATAATTCAACTCCTCAGAATTACAGCTGCTCCAAGGTCAGTAACCAGTCCAAAAATTTAGAGGACGGAAAGGGAAAATATTCTAAAGTCAAAAGATTTGAAGGTAGATCAAGAGACTCAGCTGCATATTACTAGGAATAAAGCTCCATACTACAGTAGACAGCAGGAATACCCATAGGTATAGGACACTCATAGGTCAAATGTGTTTAAGCGCATAACTACCTATTATTACTTGACTAGAAATTAACAATTAAAAAAAAAAAGAATAAATGGAGGCTTGGGGTATAGCTTGCCTAAAATATTTGAGACCATAGGTTTGAGTCCCAGCACCACGAAAAAAAGGATACCAGTGGATATGGACAAAACCTGTATCATGAAGACATACCTTTGCTTTCAAACTTTTCATCCACTTTGACATTGCCAGAGAATCCATTTTCTATGAGACAGTGCTCAATGAGAGCTGGTCCATAGGCTACAAAAGCAAAGGGAACTGTTTTTAGTATTATCCTGTAAAACTGAATATTAAGGGCCAGGATATAGCTCAGCAGCATGGTGCCTGCCTGGCAAGTGCAAGGTCCTGAGTTCGATTCCTAGTTCCAAAAAACCCCCTGAATATTAAAAACATGTTTATGTTACCGTAAGAATGATCTATTCAATAAAAAATAACCAATGAAAATAAAAATGTTTACTTATTTTGAATTATTAGAAATAGTAACTGAAATAGTTACAGATATTTGGGATCAGTGCACATTATAGGAATTTAATGGCATTCACCACATGTGAAAGAAAGACTATAGGCCAGTATGGTGGCGCACGCCTGTAATCCCAGCACTCAGGAGGCTAAAGCAGGAGGGTTGTTGCAAGATCAGAGACCAGCCTAAGCTACAAAGTGAGCTCAAGGCCAGCCTGAACTGCACAGCGAGACCCTGTCTCAAAAGACAAAAAAAAAAAAAAAGACTACAGAAAGGCATGGCTGCTCACAACTGTAATTCTAGGACTCTCGGAGGCTAAAGCAGGAAATAGTGAGTTTAACCCGAGCCTATGCAACCAACTTAGCAAGTTAGACCCTGCCCAAAAAAAAGGATACATAGATATATCGATTGATATATCTATAGATAGATATCTATAGATTGATATATCTATAGATAGATATATAGATATCATGTAGTGCAGTGCAACGGGGCCAAGTTCAATCCCCAAAACCAAGACATGGGGGGGATTTATTCCTGGAATACATGGCCCGGTTTTTTGTGTTTTGTTTTTTTTGGAACTGGGAATTGAACTCACAAGGCTTGTTTAGCAGTGACTGGTGTGTCAATTAAAAATTGAGCAAGAGGCTTTAAAAAATATTTCTCAAAAGACAAATGGCCAAGATGTATACTTTTTTAAAAATGTTCACCCCTACCAATCATCAAGGAAATACAAATCAAGTCCACAATAAAATACAACCGCAATCTAGCAGGAATGAGTATTATCCAAAAGAATGAGGGTGTAAGTGCTGGGAGGGCTGTGGGGAAAGTAGTTTCTCAGAATACTACAGCGAACACTGAAGTACTAATAACATACTCTGCACTGCTTTTAAATAAAATGATACAAAAAGTTCACATTTTGCCAGGTGTGGCGGTGCACACCTGTAATCCCAGCACTCAGGGGGCTGAGACAGGAGAACCATTACAAGTTCGGGACAGCCTGGGCTACAAAGTGAGCTTAAGGGCAGCCTGAATTGCATAGAGACCCTGTCTCAAAAAAGACCAAAAAGGGAGAAAAAAGGTTCAAACTTTGATGTGGTATAAGTTCTTAGGGTTGGAGATGTAGCTCAATGGCAGGCCTACCACCCAAAAGGCCCTAGGTTTAATCCTTAGTACCAAAGCCAAAACAAAACAACACACTTTTCCTCCTTGAAAACAAATGCCCTTTTTTTGTGAAAAGAGAAAGCAGAAATGTCTTTATTACCAGAAGACATGATCATCCCTGTAGAAAATCCAATGGAATTTTTTTTTAAAAAAGCTACTAGTCCTGACATAACTGAGCCAAGATCAATATACAAAAACCAATTTTATCCCTATATGAAAGCAAAACATAGTTGGGAACTGGAAATATAACATTCACAGGGACATCAAAAAATATTGATTACTTAAGGATAAATCTAATAAAAGATAGGCAAGACATGTACACAAAAAAGCTACAAAACATTCCTTACAGAGATTCAAGAAAAACTAAATAGAAATAGGTTGTTAGCTATGGACTAATATATATCTAAGTCCATAGCTGTTTTTTATTTATTTATTTAGGTCTTTTTGAGACAGGGTCTCACAATGCAGTTCAGGCTGGCCTGGAGCTCACTTTGTAGCCCAAGCTGGTCTCAAACTCCCAATGACCCTCCTGCCTCAGCCTCCCAAGTGCTGGGATTACAGGTGTGCGCCATCACACCTGGCTATTTATTTACTTTTTAACGTGCTATCACTTCTTTTTTTCTCCATTCCCCTACTTTCCCTTCAGTCCCTTCTCCCCTCCCCATTTACAAAAGCTTTGTGAAAACAAATTTTTACTTAAGATGTCTTTTGAAAATACTTGTTCAAATTTTCTACCAAAATAACAGGTATGTTTCTAAAAATATGCTGGGCGTGGTAGCTTACGCCTGTAATCCCAGCACTCGGGAGGCTGAAGCAGGCAGACCGTTGCGAGTTCGAGACCAGCGTGGGCTACAAAGTGAGTTCAAGGCTAGCCTGAACTGCATAGTGACACCCTGTCTCAAAAAGACCAAAAACAAATAAATAAATAAAAATTTAAAAAAATTTAAAAACCATTATCTGCAAACACTTCATCATCATATGTAGGATTACTCACGAAGTAATGGGTTAAGAACTCTCTTCAGTGATTCCCCCTTAGGTGCACTGGTTATTATTCCAGTCAATCTGTGAAAAAAATTGGCACACCTCTTACTATGTTGTATTCAATAAACCTTACACCAGTGTTCACATTCATATTATTTTCATCTGCATCAATGCCACCTGATCTTTACAATACTCTAAAATATAACACAGATTAGTCCCTTCTGTAGGTGAGAAAATGGGCCATAAAAGTAATTTTTTCAAAATTAGTAGGTTCTTGAACAGGAGCCTGGGACTTGAACCCAGATTTTCTTTTTCTTTCTTTTTTTTTTTTTTGAGACAGGGTCTCACTATATGCAGTTCGGGCTGGCCCTGAGCTCACTTTGTAGCCCAGGGTGGTCTAGAACTCACAAGTATCCTCCTGTCTCAGCCTCCCAAGTGCTGAGATTATAGGTGTGCACCACTATGCCCAGGCTACAGACTTTCTAAGAAAAATCAGTATTTGTTCAACTAAATCACAATCCTTAGCATCAATGTGCTCATATATGAGTGATATAAGTAACTTTTTATATGAAAGTTTAAAGGCATTTGTAAATTGTGCCATATCTTAACATCTGCATAACATCCGAAATGGCTTTACCAATTAATCAGTTAATAAAAACTCTCCCCTTGTCCCCTTCTACCAGGGACTGAATCAGGACCTGAACACTGGGCTATATTCTTAGTCCAGCTTTCTGACACAGGCTCTTGGTAAGGTGTTAAATTGGAGAGGGTGTGTTTGAATTTGCGATCCTCCTGCCTCGGCCTCCCAGAGTACTGGGATTATAGGCCTGCCCAAGACAAAACTCTTAATCCTGGGAGCTGGGGATTTAGCTCAGCGGCAAAAGCGCCTGCCTGGCAAGTGCAAGGTAGTGAGTTCAGTTCCCAGTACAGGAGAAAAACCGAGAAAAAAAAAAAAAAAAAACTCTTAATCCTGTGTCAGCGTAGTCCCGGTTAGCTGCATCAGCACTATCAGAGCACTTGTTAGGAATGCAAATCCCTGGGCCCCACACTAGATCAACTACATTAGCAAAGACATCCAATCTATAGTTTAACAACTATAGGTAATTCTGAGGCATGCTCAACTTTGAAGACTTGTATTACAGTCTAATAGTCAGCAGAGGCTTAATTATCACCTTCATCTACCCTACTTCTCAAGTAAACCAGAATCTCTAACTGTCTTTGCACTTTGCCTAAGATATCTGTCTTCTCAGAACAGCGAAGATATCCCTTAATTTACCAAAAAATCATAAACATCTGAGGTAACCCAAAATTTAGTTTGGTGCACACTTATGATCCCAGCACTTAGGAGGCTGAGGCAGGAGGATCTCCATGAGTCTGAGGCCAGCTTGGGCCACATAGTGAATTCAAGGCCAGGGTGAACGAATATAGCAAGACACTGTCTTGTAATAAATAAATAACCAACCAACCAACTACCCACCCACATTTTCTACTCCCAAATAAGATTTAATTGATTATATGTAGCTTATTCACTTCAAGCAGGCTAAATTTGTTATGCAAATAAACAAAATATTTGTGACCATTTTTCATATTCTGAAATATGCCCAGTTTTACATTTTGAACAGTCAGAACTGAGTTTATAAACAAAAGATGTTACCTTTCCAAAGTAAGCAAAGGTTCTGCAGCTCTAGCATGATCCACTGGATAGCGTTCACGAACAGCAAACTTAACATCATCTGCCTCATCAGTTCGAAACCTTAGGATATTTAAAATTAAGTACTCATAATCTGTAAGAACAATGTTCCCCTGCAATAGAGTAAAACACAATTTAATGCTTTTCTACATCTGTCTTCAAACTTTGAAAAAATAAAATACAAGGCTGGGTGTGGTGGCATGTCTCTGTAATCTTGGCTATTCGGGATGCTGAGCCAGGAGGATAGAGAGTTCAAGGCCAGCTGGGGCAACATATTGAGACTCTGTCCCAAAAGGAAAAAAAATGTAGCTAAGGTGACAAAAATAAAGTTATAAAACAAAAAGCACCAGTCACATAAAGTGCTCCTTGTAACTGCCTGGCCCAGACTCTGAACTAGCACAATCAAATTCTGAAGACTCCAAGTTTGAAACAGTGAAGGAATCTAGATCAACTTTAGGCTTATTATCTGATGGTACTACAGAAATTAGCTCCAGGTAATACAAGGACAGTAATCTAGGAACACCTTGATGACCACTACCTGAGCTTACTCAGCAGGATGCAAAACTTATTAAAAGAAGCAGAGCGAAGAATACCTTATAGAAGCTAAGCACAGAATTATTATACTGTCACTTGCAATCCAGTTCTCTCTCTTTTTTCTCTTTTTTGGGAGTGAGGATAGGAAGAATATAGCGTCTCACTCCGCTGCTGCAGCTGGTTTCCAACCTGTGGTATCACTCAATCCTCCTGCCTCAGCCTCACATGAACTGGAACTTCAGGTATAGACTACCATGCTAGACTGCAATTCATTTTTTAATATCAACAGTTTTGGCCTGGCGTGGTGGAGCACACCTGTAATACCAGCACTCAGGAGGCTGAGGCAGGTGGATCACTCTAAGTTTGAGGCCAGGCTGGGCTATATAAGTGAATTCAAGGCCATCCTGACTACATAGCAAGATCCTGTCTCAAAAAAACAAAAACAAAAACAGAAAAACTGCCTGACAAGCACGAGGTCCTGAGTTCAACTTCTGGTACCAAAAAAAAAAAAAAAAAAAAAAAAAAAAAAAAAAAAAAAAAAAAAAAAAAAA